ATCAGAAAGCGACATTCCATTTTCCGAGACTTAATTTGTATTTCTTCCTCCAAATATGCAAATACTTCAACACCTTACTGCTAATCCAAATGAAAACGTCCGCGAGCTGTCTTGAGCCGTAAACATTCCCGCCCTCTATAATACCCGGTGGACAAGCCTCTGATAAAGCCATCCAGAGCATGGACATGTGACAGTGATAGGTTCAAAGGAGTCGCAATGAGACACCGAGAATTAATCTACTCTCGACACCAGGCGGTTAGCCGGAAATAATTAAATAGATTTTCACGAGCTCGACACTGATAAATGGAGTCAAGAAGACTCAGCCATTCAGACGGAATGCAGGTACTTCAGCGCAGTGATATAAACGAAAACACTTTTATTCCTTTGGGCTGTCATGCTAGCTCTCAGAGTAATGTTACTTGAAAACCAGCAGATATGGCCTAATGTTGTTGTCTTTTGATAGGAAATAGGAGAACTATGCCTTTGAGATTATAAATAACTCGCCTTAAATATTGTAAATTTGGTAAATAATTCATTCTTATCCAAGAATTCTTAATAATAATATCTTTTTACTTTTAATCTTTTAGATTTTACTTTCTAGAATATAGCTTTGAAAATTAATTGAAAACTAATATTGCCAATTTTCTAACTTATTTTTTTATGATAATAATCGCCAGTCATCTTTTAAAGCTGAAATCTGTGCGGAAATAAGAAGATATATAAAAAAAAAAATATTTATTGAATTAAAAACTAATTAATGAAAATTTTTCACTGAGGTTTTGATACGAATTTTAGAATGAAGTAATAAATTAAAATAAATATTAACTTTAAAAGTGGGGCCTGAATGGCCGAGTGTGTGGCACTTTGGAGCTCGGTGACACAGGGTTCGAGTCCCGGCGGTGTCATGGATGTTTGTATTGGTTCAGAATTCTTTCAAACCGTAGATCCCGGTCTTCAGCCCTCGTAGTTCCTAGCTAAAAGTGAAGCTGCATATTATCTTTGCCGTGGACGTCGCGTGCGACGCGGTCATTTGGACCTATTGTAGGCTTTTCTGCATCAGGGGAATTAGTAATAAAAACTTAAAAGTGTTATATTAAGTTACGCTGGTAATACTCACAAATATACATACATTTTTATACATAAATTGATACAATACTATCATTCAAATAGCTGTTAAAATTTTATATGAGTTTCACAAGCAATAAAAATCTATTTATGCTTATAAATTCATTCAAAGATATTGTATTATTCGGAAGCGAACAATGCCCAAAACAGATGAACCTAACTAGGGATCTGCTGGTTTGAGGTTCGTTGAATGATTTCAAGGGTCAATGAAGCAAATATGGAAACAAAAGTTAATATCTATAAGATGTCCACCAAAAGCAGAAATATTGTCTTATATCTATCACATTTTAACATGCATATCGTGCATGTTATATTGCATATTGTATCAAATTTGTGCATACTGCATATTGTGCATACTATATCACATTTGTACATATTGCATATTGTGTATACTATATCACATTTGTACATATTGCATATTTGTGTATTTGCATATTGTATCACATTTTAACATGCATACAACAATACTGAATAATTACTATCATGCATGTAATAAATGATTTGATCTAAAATTTATTTTTGAATGGTTTAATAATTAACAAAATCAGATTTAGTAACAAAAATAAAACCGTTTTAAGGAAGGGAAGCATTTGTGATATGCTTTGTGGATTGGGGAATCTTTTAGTTTTGAATATCCTTAAAAATGCTAGATTAAGTCTTATATATTCCATAACTGGAATATGAAAGAAAATGCAACTTTTATTTTATTGAATAACGGGCGAAGATTTACGAGACCTCAAGCTATTGAAAGTTTTATGGACGCAGACATTACTTCAGTGCATCCAAACCGCATCTTAGAACGGTATAAGAATAGATTCCACTAAAAGAGTTGAATTACAGCAGGTTTCAAGTCAATATTATGCATTCCATATAAACTGCCGAATGATTCTGTATTTGTATTGAAGAAAATCCGTAAAAGTCCGAATAACCAATTTGATAGACTAGTATATTTTGATTTTCTCTGCCCATTCTTTAACGTCATGATATATGGCACCAATGAAATCGAATGTTTTTTTCGCAAATAGAATATCTTTTAGTATGCTAGTTACCATACGCTATCACTTAAACCAAGACGGGCAAAGAAGATTGTACATTTTTCTGAGATGAGCATTTTAATCAACATTCTTTGTATACATATATTTTTCAAGGATTTGTAATAAAAATACGCATATTTTGAAGATTTATTCGTTTTTGATACATACAAAAAGATAAAGAACATCCAAAAAACTGGCAATTGCAAGAACTGATAAACCTTAATAATATACATGATAAATGTTTTCATAATTTTTTTTAAAAGTAATGAATGTCATGATTTTTAAAAAATAAATTAAGAAATTTTTTTTTTCTACAGATTACTTGAAAAATTACTTTTCGAAGTATCTAATAACCATCTAGCATTCGTATTTATGATTTAATTTTCATTATGATTCTTTCGAAGAATGTACAAATCTAGCACAACAATGTGGCTTTTGAAAAACAACTAGTTGAATTTACGTGAATAAAATCCAGATGTGATCACATGAAAACTATAGAGTAAAGTTTTAGATTAAACATTTACACATTTTTTTTTAAAGTGATGGTATGTCTCGAATATTTTTAAGGGATAATATTCCAAATATACAATAAAAAACATATTTATCATTGTTCCATTCAGGAACATTAATTTAAAAACTTAAGAAAATATTTTTTAAGAGAAATTTACATTCTGTTATATTTGATGTTAACAGAAATATTAAATATTTAAATCTAGCTAAAGTTTACAGACTAATGTAAAATTAAACAAAACGTTAAGTGAGGCAGCAAAATAATCGTAACGAAATCACTACAAACATTTAGTGATTACATTAGATTAAAAGGAAAGCTTAAGTGAAAGCTTTAATAGTTAATTAATTTGTAAAGATATTTACGCGGGGTTAGTTTTGGCATTGTAAAGCATTAAGAAATAATTCACACGGGGAGAAAAAATATTTAAGCAAAGAGAGAGAGAATTATCTTTTTTTTTTAGGGAAACTGCATTGTTCTAGGTTTTATTTGATGAATTTTTTTTGTAATTCTTATTGAAGAAATTCATCCAAAAAAATTTTTCTGCTGTTTGCTGATTTAATTAATTAAAGAAAGTGAGGTAATCGCTAAATTCGCATTAACAGGTTTGTACTGAATTTCTTTTTTTTTTAAATCTTGATTTATTTTATTTATTTCTTTAAGTAAATAGAAATAGCTTGATGTTCACTAGGATATGTAGTTTCCTTTTCTTAAGCAATTAATTTAACTAAAACCAATTTAAAATGAAAATGAAACAAACTTTTTTAAGTAAAAATATTTTCATACACATTAAAAAATGATGTTTTAATAAGGAGTTATTTTATTGTAATGAAATTTCTTTACATAAATATCACTCGATCCAACATGGAAATAATAAAATTTTAATGCCTAATGAAGAAATAGAAATCCGAAGAGTGTGCAAAAGTAGAGAAATTCCAATTGTGGTGAATTATTTTCTTTGGAATATGTCATACCTATTCCCCTGGGTTATATCAATATGTCGCATACGGGTAGCACACAGTGTATAAACACTGAGAGATGATTTGAGGGAAAAGTTTTAGAGAGGACATGAGAAAAGACCTGCATTTGAGTTAAAGAAAACAAGAGAAACACATTGAAAGATTCTCGAAATTTTGGTAGGAGTTTTGCTCCCGTTCGATTGCTCCTGTTCATTTTGCTATATGAGTCAAAAGAAATTATTTAAAAATACAACCTTTCAATATACCTTAAATAAATGCATCCTTACTTTTCTATACACAAACCAATCAAGCCAAACAGCCACCCAAAGTTTCATCTTCTGACCTCTGGATGGAAGGGGTATCAGCTTATTGAACTTGTTAGTTGATTCTCTGGAGAGGTTATTTGGAATCACCATTTAATTTTGCAACAAATTGTGCTGTTGACATAAACAATATTCATATAAATTGAAAGAAAAAAAAATTTGTAAAGTGGATAAGCATGAAAATTGATTAGTGTGACAAAAACCTAATTATTTTATAAATAAAAAATTGTTTATAATACTAATTTAAAATTTAAGTAATTTAGAAATGATTAAATTTTGTTGTTTTGTTTTTTATTAACTGATTTTTTTTAATTAAGTAAAAATATACATTTGGCATGTTACTTTTTATAACTGTTCTGATATGTAATGTATCATAAACCCATGAAAAAAAAATATTATTTGCTTTTTTCCTATATTTCAATTTATGAAGTTCTTAAAATCCAAATGTACTTAATTTTAAGTTTATAAAATAATAAAAATAAATAAATAATAATAAAAAAAATTGTTAAAAGCTTCACAAAACATTTATATCTTTATCACATTATTCTGATTTTTTTATATAATTTATTTCAAAAGTTTGAAACAAAATCATTAAGACCCAACAGGCTGTATATGATTTTTAAAACTGAATTAATCAGAGAGTAATAATTGTTTAAAAGAATGGATAAAATGCTTAAAGATAGATAATTGTTTATAGGATAGAACACCAATACACATTGAAATTTTAGAAATTCATCGATGCTCGCAAAACCTTTGTTTTTCTAGCTTTAAACAGACAATATTTAAGTATAAAGATAATATAAAAGTTTGTTGTTGAATTAAAGCTATTTTATATGATTTTTCAGTGGTATTTGCTGTTATTGTTTCTTATCCCATTTGGTACACATCTAGACCAAACCCAAGAACCCGTATAGATTCATGGTTGAAGGGAAAGGAAACAGCTTCTGTTGTAATGAAGCACCCGCGGGTAGAAGTCTGACTTGACGTTGTACTGTCATATCAGACAGGGACCTACTGCTCAAAGTGGATTGCGAACCTCTATACGCATCCGTGATGCTGCCGGGACTTGAACCCGAAACCTATGGCACAGAGGGCCACAGCGCTAGAAACTCGGCCATTCAGGCCCCAGAGGTACTTGTAATGATAGCTTTCTTAAAATGCAGGAAAAAAATAATCTATTGTAATATTACTAAGATATTAATTTAAATAATATAAAATACTTGAAGAGTAAAATAAATAACGAATGATAATTATATTAAAAAAAAGAATACTATATATGCTATCTTGTACTTCTTTCTGTTAAAAAAACAGATTATATTCCTGCAAGCAAATTAGCACAAGAGTCATTGTGACATGAATCATTCTTAATTCATGTAAAAAAGAAAAACAAATAAGAAATTGTATTTGAGAAGATAAAAAAAATCATCACCAATTAGCAGCTCCTTAGAAATATTTACTACAAAGCAAGCCTTAATTTGTATTCCTTCTTTCAAATATGCTAATACTTCAACACCTTACTGCTAATCCAAATGGAAACGTCCGCGAGTTGTCTTGAGGCGTAAATATTCCCGCCCTCTATAATACCCGGTGGACAAGCCTCTGATAAAGTCGCCCGAAGAATGGACATGTGACAGTGATAGGTTCAAAGGAGTCGCAATGAGACACCGCGAATTAATCCACTCTCGACACCAGGCGGTTAGCCGGAAATAATTAAATAGATTCTCACGAGCTTGACACTGATAAATGGAGTCAAGAAGACTTAGAAGGAATGGAAGTATTTCAGCGCAGTGATGTAAACGAAAACACTTTTATTACTTTGGGCTATCATGCTAGCTCTCGGGGTAGTAATTTTATTTGAAAGCCATCAGATATGAACCAGTGTTGTTGTCTTTTGATAGGAAATAGAAGAACTATACTTTTGAGATTATGAATAACTCGCCTTAAATGATATAAATTGTGTATATAATTCTATGATTCTTATACAAGATTTCCAAATAATTTTTTTTCACTTTTAATCTATTAGAATTTGTTTTCAAGAATATAATTTTGAAAATAAATTGAAAACTTAAAATTTTTTTTAAATTTAAATGGCAAGGCAAGTACAGGAAGAATAAAAAAAATAATAATAACAATAATAACAGGGAAAAAAAATACAAAAGAATAAACGTAATCCAAAAAATGCAAAGATGACCGAAGTCATTGTCGTAAGAGTTCTCTCGCATGCCAGTAAAGCGCTGTCTCCGAGTCGCCGTCAAGTACCGTACATCGTTGGAGGTGGTCTCTGTTCATTGGGTCTATTGAACCACATTGGTGGCAGCCAAGGTTCGAAAATATTTTAATGCGATGGAGATGTTCTGCTATACAGTCATGGCCAGTCAGAAGTCGGAACTGGGGGACAGCATGCCATTGCGGATTGCTGGGTATTATTAAAAGATCTTCAGCTCTCCAACGCTTTGACTTAATCCAATCTTGAATTTGTAACTTGGGGTTTTTAGTCATTATTTGTTTGACTTTTATAGAATGGAGTGACAGTGACGAAGATCTCATTTGAAGTAGTTTTGAGCCTCCTTTTGCTAGACAATCGGTCTGCTCGTTCCCCAAAATGCCACAGTGGCAAATTGAAAACTAATGCTGCCAATTTTATAACTTACTTTTTAAGATACTAATTACCAGTTATTTCTTAATGTTGAAGTCATCTGGTGGCGTAAAAATCTGAAGGTATAAAAAAATAAGTTATATATTTAATTAACAAATAATTAATAAAAATGTTTCAGTTAGTTTTGAATACGAATTTTAGGAATGAAGTAATAAATTCAAATACAAATTAATTTGTAGGCGTGGTTCCTGAATGGCCGAGTGTCTAGGGCTCGGCGCCACTGGTTTCGGGTTCAAGTCTCGGCTGTGCCATGGATGTTTGTATTGGTTCGTAATCCATTTTAAACCACTAGGTTCCGGCCTAATATGGTTTTAGAATTTAGTTTATAGGTTTAGATCTTAGTTTTTAGGTTTACTCAGTCTTCAGCCCTCGTGGTTCCTCGCTTAATGTGAAGCTGCATATTACCCTTAATCGTGAACGTCGCCCGTGACGAGGTCATTTGGACCTGGTGTAGACTATCCTGCACCAGGGGGATCAGTAACAAAAACTTCTAAGTGTTATATTAAGTTATGCTCATAATATTCACAAACATATATCCATTTTTATACATAAATTGATACAATACTTAATCTTTTATATGAGTTTTACAAGCAATAAAAATTCCTCCAAATATCTTGTATTATTCGGAGTAGAACAATGTCCGAAACAGAGGACCTTAATTAGGGATCTAAGTACCCTTTTGAGGTTTGTCGAATGATTTCAAGGGTCAATGGAGCAAAAATGGAAACAAAAGTTAAAATTGATAAGATGTCCGACGAAAACATTCATTTATTTTTTCTGAGTTAAAATCACATTTAAACATGCATATTATCTTGTACAAAACAAAACTGCATCTTAATGTTGATATTGGAAGAAAACAACAACACTGAAGCAAGCACTGCTATTATGTATGCAATAAATGACTTGGTCTAAATTTCTATTTTTGTATTGTTTTAAAATTAATAACACAAGATTTATTAACGCAAATGAATAGTCTTTAAGGGAAGACTTTGTGATAAATTTTGTGGATTGGGAAATCTTTTAATATGTGTTGAATACCCTTAAAATGCTGAATTAAGTCTTATATATCCCATAACTGGAACATGAAATGAAATACAACTTTTATTTTATTGAGTAAATTGAATAAAGGGGGCAGATTTACGAGACCTCAAGCTATTGAAACTTTTATGAATTCAGACATTACTTCAGTGCATCCAAACCGTTTCTTAAAGCGGTATAAGAATAGATTTCACTGAAAGAGATGCATTACTGTGCAATATTATGCATTCTATATAAACTGCCGAATATTTCTGCATTTGTATTGAGGAAAATCCGTAAAAATCCGACAAACCAGTTTGATAGACTAGTATATTTTGACTTTCTCTGCCCGTTATTTAACGTCGTGATGTATGGCACCAATGAAATAGAATATTTTTTTGTTGTCTATCGAATATCTTTTAGTATGCTAGTTACCATACGCTATCACTTAACCACAAGGGGAACTTATGAAATATTGTAAATGCTACTGAAATAAGTCATTTTGTTCAAAACTGCTTAAAATACATATATTTTCAAGGATTTTTAATAAAAATATGTTTGGTGTTTTCAAGATATATTCGTTTATGTTATAAGGAAGAATATATATAAAAATATCTTAATTGCAAGTATCGTTGAATCTAAATAACGTATGATAAATAATATCAAGAACTAATGAATGTTAAAAATACATGATATATTTTCCCACAATTTTTTATTAAAGTAATGAATGCTAACTTTAAAAAAAAAAAATTATTTTCTGAAGATTACTTTAAAAATTAAATTTCAAAGTATCTATTTAAGTTATGTTATCCTACTAAATTATCAATCACAAATACGAATGCAAGATGTGTGGGTATATTGCATTCGTGATTTATTTTGACTTATGATTCTTTTGAGGAATGTACAAATCTAGCACAAAAATTTTAAATTGCGTGGCTTTTGAAAAACAACTAATCGAATTTACGTGAAAAAAATCCATCAAGTATTGTGATTGCATGGAAACTATAGAGTAAAATTTTACGTTAAAATTTCAAACAATTTTTCCTTTTTAAAAAAATTGGATGGTATATCTGGAATATTTTTAAGGGGTAATAATCCAAATAGACACATTAATTCATATTAATCATTGTTCAATTCATGGCCGAATTTGTTTAAATTAATTAAAAAAAGTTAAGAAAATATTTTTAAAGACAAATTTACATTCAGTTACAGTTGATAATACAAGAAATATTAAATATTTAAATCTACATCAAGTGTTACAGCCTAATGGAAAATTAAACAAAACGTTAAGTGAAGAAAATAATCGTAACGAAATCACTGCAAACATTTAGTGATTACATTAGATTAAAATGAAAGCTTAAGTGAAAGCTTTAATAGCTAATTAATTTGTAAAGATATTTACGCGGGGTTAGTTTTGGCATTGTAAAAGCATTAAGAAATAATTCGCATGTGGAGAAAAAATATTTAAGCAAAGACAGATAATTATCTTTTTTTTTAAAGAAACTGCATTGTTCTGGATTTCTTTTGATGAATTTCTTTTGTAATTCTAATTGAAGAAATTCATCAAATTTTTTTCTGCTGTTTGCTGATTTAATTAATTAAAGAAAGTGAAGTAATTGCTAAATTCGCATTAACAGGTTTGTACTGAATTTCTTGTTTTTTTCTAAAAAAAAATCTTTATTTATTTTTTTATTTCTTTAAGTAAATATAAATAGTTTGATTTTCTTAAGGGTATGAAGTTCCCTTTTTCTTAAGCAATTAATTTAACTATATCTATTTAAAATGAAAATGAAGCAAACTTCTAGGTAAAAATATTTTTATACACATTAAAAAATGATGTTATAATAAGGATTTATTTTATTGTAATGAAGTTTCACGCATAAATATCATTCGATCCAACGAAGTAATTAAATTTTAATGTCTGATGATGAAATAGTTCGAGTTCAGCATCAAGATAGTGTGTAAAAGAGGAGAAATTCCATTTCTGGGAATAAATTTCTTTAGAATATGCTCTGCTCAATCCATCATATTATATTAATGTGTTGCATAATTGTTGGAAGTAGGCTGATATATTATACAAGAATGTATCACAAATAATGCTACCTGATCCTCCTTTGCCTTTTAGTCACAAAAGGCGATATATATATATTTCTCTATTAAATCCAACCGTTTAAACCTGTATAGAGAGAAGGCTTCTGACAAAAAGTGGAATTCCCTATTAAATAAGTCAACAAGAATTAGCAGTCAATTGTCTAGAGCTGTCGGCGTGGCTTGCTTTAGACTTATCACTGGCCATGACTACTTACAGAGTGTCCTGTATAGAAAAGGACTGGCTACTACAGATATCTGGCCTACTATTACGTGCCCATTACTGTAGAACACCTCATCATATGCCCTACTGCTCTTTACTGTATCCCTTTTACTGTTATTGTCAATGACTTTAGTGA